GGAGCCCTTCCTGGGCTGAACTGGGGATCGGGAGCCCTTCCTAGGCTCTGCGGGGGATCGGGAGCCCTCCGTGGGCTATACTCGGGAACCGGGAGCCCTTCCTGGGCTCTGCGGGGGATCGGGAGCCCTTCCTGGGCTCGGCGGGGGATCTGGAGCCCCTCCTGGGCTGAACTGGGGATCGGGAGCCCCGCCTGGGCTGAACTGGGGATCGGCGGAACGGGAGCCCTCCGTGGGCTACACTCGGGACCTGGGCAAGGCGTGGTCGGCGAACTGGAGTGTTGAAAGTTGGCGGGCTTGCCACATTAATGTCCGATGGGCTTGCCATATGCGTGGCCAGTGAACTTGACTTGGCGCGACTGGCAAGCTTAACATCTGGGCGGCTTGGTTCTGAGCATCCGGCGGGCTTGTCATCGGCGAGGCCAGCGGGCTGGAGATAGCCCCGGCTGATGGGCTTGACATCGGCCCGGTCAGCGGGCTGGAGAAAGCCCCGGCTGGCGGGCTTGACAACAGCGCGGCCGGCACGCTTCACAGTGCGGTCTTCCATCCGCGGAGACAAACGGGACAAAATGGAAAACAAAAGACTGTTCAAAAACAAAAATAAAACATGGGAGAAGGAGCGCCGCTTACTGTTTTTGGTCAGTCGTTCTGTCACGGTTCACACACACGAGGAAGACATCATCGACACATCAGGATGACGTTCAACGACTGACAAATGGACAAGAACTAGAACACACCAACACTGGAGCGAGCTCTGGGGCTGGAGCCGACACTGGAGCGAGCTCTGGGGCTGGAGCCGACACCCTTCTCCTCGCCCCTAGCATCCTCTTCTGGATCGGGGGGAAAAGGCATGGTCGGCGAACTGGAGTGTTGAACGTATGGCGGGCTTGCCACATTAATGTCCGGAGGGCTTGCCATATACGCTGCCGGCGGGCTTGCCATCTGAACACTTGGCGGGCCGGTTCTGAACGTCCGGCAGGCCACAGGAACTGATGAAGACAAGGGACACCTGGAACTAATGACAATTAACATAGGAAACACCTGGGAACAATGAATTCAAAACACGAGACAGAAACTGGATGACGGAGCATATAGGGAGCAAAGACACACACAAAACCTGGCCCAGAGTCTGACACCTATAATTCATTGTATAAATTAAAACCTTTTTAAAAACAGCCTAACCTTTTATTATCATCACAGCGAGTCAGTTATGCGGTGATGCGCTATGAAAGTAGGCTATTGCGGGACAAATTAATTGTAATTTAACAATAAAAGTAACTTAATAATAATAGGCCTAATAATAAGAATGCACAGGCCTAACTAGAAATGCCAAATCCTCTTAATATTGCCCATATTTGATGCTTTTGACAATATCTCTGGCTATTGTGACACATAATATGAGCAACCCAGCACAGGGAGGTTGGCCTACATGTTAACATTTTGTTGAGCTCTTCTGTAGACAAGATGCCTTTTGTGAGAAAAAAAAATTATTTTAATTATTTAGCAGCACATTGCTTTGTAACATAGACTCCGCATGACAGATACCTGTCCATAAAAGAGTAAGACTAGGCCTATGCTTCAAAAACATGTTTATTGAAAAAATCTAAAAGCACAATATCTCACTTTCGGTGACTGACCGCAGCTCAAATCCACTTTACGTTTAATGCAGGAGTGTGGGTAAATTAGACTAGAACAAACTCCCTTAACTGTATGTATGCTTACTGAACAGTGTACCGAGGTAAAGAATATGTAGACCTAACAAAAAACGGTACATTTGTGTGTGAGATTGTGTCTATGTATGACAATGGTGACAAATCATTGTTTTTGATGCCAAAAGCGCCGTCAGTATTTACTTTTTTTAACTTTCACTTTCTGTATAGTGAATTGACTGAGGTTAAGATGTTCACCGGCATATCTTTTGCGCAACGTTTGCACGTTGCTTTTGTGATATCCATTGGCTCGCCTTCATGGTTTAAAACAGAAATATTTCCCGGAGGGGGGCGCTGCCGCTGCTGTATGCTATCATTATCTGACATAAAGAGAACGCACTTATTCAGTCGCGCCTGAAATATGCGCATGCAAAATACAGATATGAGGAAGTCCAGAATCAACAATGAAATTTAAATTAATAAATAAACATGATTATGACAATATGTTTATGGCAAATATATTTGTGATCATCAAGCAGTCTCTTGTATTTTTAAAGATTAATGCAGCTAGGAATAAAGTAGCATTACACATAAATCTATAAAAAGTCTATATTTCTGCATCTTCAGAATACTTCGGATCACAAAGGGATGTTATTTCAAATACTCGCCGTTAATTTTTGAGCTAAGAAAATGTTTTAAAACATAATGTTAGCTGCTAGATATGAAAAAATGGAAATTGGCAATGGGCATTGGTGCCGGTTCAATCCGTATGTTTTATACAATGCTGTCCTTCGTTCATTTATATGGGTGGTTCTTACAGTTATAATGCAATAAATCAGTTTTACTTACTGTTTTTGATCCTTCGGTTCCAAATGACTTTAAATACTTGCAGGCAAACAGTCGACTGATGGCAACGCCCTTATGGTCATGTGATTTATAGGAAAATACGCTGTTTGATGGAGAAGGGTCCAAAAGGGTCTGGCTGCAGCTGGCGCTTGCACTCTCAGACGTGCATTCTCAGGCTTGCACTCTCAGACACTTGCACTTCGCTAGCGACGTCACTTGCAGTCTTTATTTTTTATGTTGCTCTATTTATTGATTACTTTTTGTTTGAATCTCTCAACATTTTACAACAGTATAGCCAGGTGGTGAAGACAAGAAAAAAGAAACTAAATTACGAAGTCACTTGCAATCGCCACTTGCACTCTGCCATACCTGCGACGTCACTTGCAATCGACACAAATCGTGCGTGTTGCCAATGGAGACAAGACGCTGTGTTGGTGATTTAATGATTAAAACTAATTTAATACCGTAACCTACAGGGTCCTGCAAGAAAAAGACAAGACCCGCAAATCCGTGGCCACAGAACAGCAGAATATGAACGCAATGCACAAAGTCTCTAATATAATGAATATGTATATAGTATTTTCCTCCCACACCGCAAAACGTGGCATAATGTGGCATAATGGACTAAGATGATAAAGACCAAACTCAATGCTCTTGATTATTAAAATATAGCCTACATAACTAATATACAGGCAAGCAGGTGAGCCCAGAATAAATGCAACATGCACAGTTTCGCGTTAAGCATTTTTCCATATAGAATAAACTGTCTACAGCTCTTTTATATCATTGTCTTTGTCCATTAAGCTGATAATGATTTTTAAAGCATAATGATTTTCTATAGGAGGAAAATGTTTAAGGTGCAATTTAACGCATTGCGTTCTGGGCTCGTCTGCTTGCCTGTACGGAGTTGATCCTTTTAAAATCACTTAATGCATTTCATAATGCACGTTCATATTTGCTGTTCTGTATATACTTTGAGTCAACAACAAGACATATAGGCTACTGAATTGTCTTTATCAT